TCACTCTGCTCTACAAACCAGCTGGCGCCTCCCTAATCTCTTCACTGCTGCCTGCATCTCCTGATTCCTCAAGGTGTAGATCATGGGGTTGAGCATGGGGGTCACAACTGTGTGGCTGATGGACACAGCTTTGTCCATGGGGAATGGGGTGAAGGGCCGAGCATAGAGATAAATGCTGGGAATGAAGATCATAGAGACCACGATGATGTGGGTGGTGCAGGTGGAAGCTGCCTTCCTCCTCGCCTCCCTTGGGTGGGACCTCAGCATCACTAGGATGGCTGAGTAGGAGACCAGGAGGACAAAGAACCAGATGACATCCAGCATCCCACTGTTGGAGATCATGAGGAGCTCCAGGAGGGAGGTGTCAGTACAGGCAAGTCTCAGTACTTGGGGGACGTCACAGTAGAAGTTATCCAGAATATTGGGGCCACAGAAAGGCAGCGGGAGCATCAGAGCCAGCTGGACAATGGAGTGGATGAAGCCCCCTACCCAGGCGGCCACCACCAGCCCCACACAGAGCTGAGTGTTCATGATGGTGACATAGTGGAGAGGACGGGAGATGGCTATGTAGCGGTCGTAGGCCATCACCGAGAGGAAGAAAACCAAGGCTCCTCCAAGAAAGTGGAAGAAGAAGATCTGGGCCATGCAGCCCTGGTAGGAGATGGTCTTCTTCTGAGATAGGAAATCTATCAGCATCTTTGGAGCAGTGACTGAAGAGAAACAGAGGTCTATGACAGCCAGGTTTCGGAGCAGAAGGTACATGGGTGTGTGAAGCCGGGAATCAGAGGTCACTGTGACTATGATGAGGAGATTTCCCACCACAGTGATGACATAGATAAACAGGAACACCATAAACAGGAAAATCTGGAGCTCTTCAGTCTGTGAGAGCCCCAGGAAGACAAAATCTGATACCCATGTGAGGTTACCTGGGTCCATGGTGTCTTCTCCATGTACCTAAAGAAAACCAACCACAGACTTAGATTCATCCTGGCACTGCTTGCCCTTTCAGTGCTGAGAGGCTCAGACCTAGTCATCAGGTTCATAAGATGGGCATCGTCATGTGCGTAGCGTGATACACGTGCTGTCTTGTCTTGAGGGAGTTTACAAGCATGTGCCAGAAATATATGCAACCTACCTTTGGAAGATTCATATAGAAGTGGGAAGACATTTGGAGTCAGATACATCTGGAGTCAAATTTCAGGTCTTTAATTTCATTGAGATTTGATCATGAGTAACTTAATCTTTCTGCGTCTATTTTTCCATCTGTAACA